TTTTTTTTTTTTTTGTCCGTCATTGGGCTTGAACTCTGGGCCTAGGTGCTGTCCTTCAGCTCTTCACCTCAAGGGGAACGCTCTGCCTCTTGAGATACAGCGCCACTTCCGGTTTTCTGGTGGTTTATTGGAGATAAGAGTCTCACAGACTTGCCTGCCCGGGCTGGCTTTGAACCGCAATCCTCAGATCTCAGCCTCCTAAATAGCTAGGATTACAGGCGTGAGCCACCCGTGCCCAGCCTGGCTGAATTCTTTTATCTTAAAGTTTGCCTTTAGAGCAAAAAATGTGTCCAAGTGATCATAAAAGTTCTCTTTTATCATCATAAAATAAAACTTACATATAACTGTTTGACAGTTATTCTAGTATTTACTTGTTGACAAATACCTCCATTTAAAGGATTCATGCCCAATTATTTTTTCTTTTTCCCTAACATTTTGTAGTTGTTCATGAAGTCTAAATGTAATTGGTTTATACATGTGCTTGATCTACCCAGATTTCTGTTTTGTTTTATTTTTTGTCAGTTGTTGGGCTTGAACTCAGGGTCTTGGCACTGGTTTCTGAGCTTTTTCACTTGAGGCTTGTGCTCTATCACTTTGAGCCACAACACCATTTCCACTTTTTCTGGTGGTTAATTAGAGGTGGCTCAGTGGTAGAGTGCTTGCCTTGCATGCATGAGGCCCTGGGTTCGATTCCTCAGCACCATGTAAGCATAAAAAGCCAGAAGTGACGCTATAGCTCAAGTGGTAGAGTGCTAGCCTTGAGCTAAAGAGCTGAGAGACAGTGCCCAGGCCCAGAGTTCAGGACCCACGACAAACAAACAAACAAAAAAAGAGTCTCATGGACTTTCCTGCCTAGGATAGCTTTGAACCATTGTCATATCTCAGCTCTCAGTAGCTAGGCTTACAGACATGAGCCTCCAGCACCTGGCTGACCCAGATATTTTTTGTAGATTGTTTTAACTTTAAATAATAAAATTATCATTTTATAGTAAGGTAATTATTAAATGCTGGATTTTCATAGGACAGGAATAGACCAAACTTATCAACTGTATTTACATGATGAATCTATACTTTTTTATAAGGTAGAATTGAAACAATAGTTAATGGTCGTAAACTAAATATAAAATAAATGTCTTCCTTTTTCATTTTTGTTTAGTACAACACCTCAGGTATTGAGCCCCACTATTACATCTCCCCCAAATGCACTGCCTCGAAGAAGTTCACGACTTTTTACTAGTGACAGCTCTACAACCAAGGTAATTAAAACATTTCTGAATGTTGTTACTTAATGCTTCCATTGCTAAAATTTCTGCTTATTGATGACATTATTTCTAATAAATAGAGCTTATTTTACAGTTTAAGTAATTTTTTTAATTTAGAGGAGTATTTTATTTTTGTGAGTTTTCTTGGTCCTTTGGTTAAAATTTGGCATTCTTGAAATGGTAAAATTATAATCAAGCCAGGCACTGGTGGCTCACACCTGTAATCCTAGCTACTCAGGATGCTGAGATCTGAGGATCATAGTTCAAAGCCAGTCCAGGCAGAAAAATAAGACTCTAATCTCCAGTTAACCACTCAAAAAATGGACTTGGTGCTATGGCTCAAAGTTGTAGAGCAATAGCCTTGAGCAAAAGAGCTCAGGGACAGTGGCCAGGCCCTGAGTTCAAGCCCTACAACCAACAACAACAACAAACAAATAAATAAATATATATATATATAAAGAGAGAGAGAGAGTGTGTGTCAAATATCAGTAGCTATCAGAAGATAGGGCTAGGGAAGGATTGGTTATTCAAACAGCACTAACATATTTCTTTGTGGTACAATAGTCCTTAAGCTTAAGCATGATGGTTGATTACATCCTTTTATTAGTGAAAATTATTTCAAAGTTAAACCTTTAAGAATTTAGAGAGGGCTGGGAAGGTGGCTCAGTGGTAGAGCGCTTGCCTTGCATGCCTGAGGCCCTGGGTTCAATTCCTCAGCACCACAAAAGAAAAAAGAAAAAAAAAGCCGGAAGTGGTGCTGTGGTTCAAGTGGTAGAGCCCTAGCCTTGAGCTGAAGAGCTGAGGGACAGCGCCCAGACCCAGAGTTCAGGCCCCACGACCGGACCCAAAAAAAATAAAAAAAGAATTTAGAGAGCTTTGTCATGTTTTATGATATCCATTTATGTATATGATAAATCTTTTTTCTTTTTTTTAATTTTTTTTTGTGGGGCCTGAACTCTGGGCCTTGGGTGCTGTCCCTAAACTCTTCAGCTCAAGGCTAGCGCTCTACCACTTGAGCCACAGCGCCACTTCCAGCTTTTTTCTCTTTGCTTATGTGGTGCTGAGGAATCGAACCTAGGGCCTCATGCATGCAAGGCAAGCACTCTACCACTGAGCCACCTTCCCAGCCCCATTTGATGAATCTTAATCAAAGTCATTCCTCGGTCATTCTGTCTCCCCCTTCTCAAACCATGAATGACCTTAACTTTGAGATCAGATCAACAATGTTAAGATTTATCAATTAGTATTCAAAGATAACTAGATACTCTGGCTTCCTCACATTTTTAAATAATAAATGAGAATGTGATATACTTTTAGAAAGAATAATACTTTATGCAGACATATCTTAATCAGCTTAACTAATGTAAATTTATGTTTAGAATTGTTGTATTTAAAATTAAATGACTTTGAAATCTTTCTTTTGATAGTGGTGGTACTGGGTTTTAAATACTTCCTACACAAGTGCTCTACTTGTGTAGACTTTAGTTTTTATAAAATTTCTTCTGAGAAAATTTGAGATTAATCAAGATTATACAAGAAAGCAGGAAGGGAGAAGTCTAAAATACATGAGTATAACCTGGGCATCAGTGGCTCATGCCTATAATCCTAAACTACTCAGAAGGCTAAGATCTGGGGATGGTGGTTCAAAGCTAGCCCAGGCAGGAAAGTCTGTGAGATTCTTATTCCCATTCATTTATCCATTAACAAGCTAGAAGTAGAACAGTGGTAGAGTACCAGTCTTGAGCAAAAAAAGCTTAAGGACAGTGCCTAAGCCCTGAATTCAAGCCCCAGTACTAGCACTAAAATAAAATACATTAGTATAAAAAGTGTGAAATTTTACCTTCTTTTACAGGAAAATAGCAAAAAATTAAAAATGAAGTTTCCACCTAAAATCCCAAACAGAAAAACAAAAAGTAAAACTAGTAAAGGAGGAATAACTCAACCTAACATAAATGATAGCCTGGAAATTACAAAATTGGACTCTTCTATCATATCAGAAGGGAAAATATCCACAATCACACCTCAGATCCAGGCTTTTAATCTACAAAAGGCAGCAGCAGGTCTGTTTTAAGTACTTAATATTGCCTTTTTTTTGTTTTGTCATATTATGAATTTATTTTAATTAAATATCTTTATGTTCATTATACTGTCTTAATGTTTCTGGATATATTTTGGAATTTTAGTGGCTTAGTTTTCTAGAAAACCAAGTTGTATTGCTTTTATCCTTTGTTTACTATATTTTTTTCTCCTAGAAGGTTTGATGAGCCTTCTTCGTGAAATGGGGAAAGGTTATTTAGCTTTGTGTTCATACAACTGCAAAGAAGCTATAAATATTTTGAGCCACCTACCTTCTCACCACTACAATACTGGTTGGGTACTGTGCCAAATTGGAAGGGCTTATTTTGAACTTTCAGAATACATGCAAGTAAGTATAGAATACAGTTACATATATATGCCTTTCTGGAAATAATTTAAATCTAATTAAAATGTTCATGCCCAAAACTAGATCTAAATATTTAATGTGTAATGTTTATGTGATTGTGTGATTATTTTTGTACGCATTTATCATTTATAGATAATGAGTAATTTAAACTCTTTGGACTTTGTTGTAGTACTGGAGTTTGAACTCACAGCCTTACACTTGCTCAGCTTGCTTGCTTGGCGAGTACTCTGGCAATTGAGCAATGACTCCTGCTCTTCTATGGACTTTTCTTGAAATATATTTGTAGAGAATGTTATCAATACATTTTTAAATGAAATACTTGTATACTACTCAGATCTAAAAAAAGTATATATTTATCATATAACTATGTTAGGTAGCTACTCAAAAGGCTGAGATCTGAGGATCACGGTTCAAAGCCAGCCCTGGCAGGAAAGTTTGTGAGACTCTTACCTCCAATTAATCACCAAACAAACTGGAAGTGGTGCTGTAGCTAAAGTAGTAGAGTGCTAGCCTTGAGTAAAAGGAGCTTAAGGATAGCGTACAGGCCCAGGATTCAAGAGCCCAGGACCAGCAATAAATAAGTAAGTAAATAAATGAGTACAGGTAGATACTTATAATATAAATCCTTAGTGCAATATAAAGTTATTTTCTAAAACAAATTTTTGGCCTTTAGTATGTTTTATAAATTTGAAGAATGCATCTTAATACTGGTATTCAAACTTGTAAATCCTTAGGGGTAATCTAGGAAGGGTATATTATTGGAGGATAATGATTTGAGGCCACCCTTGACAAGAAGAGTTTTCTAGACTCCATTCCAAAAAAACAAAAAGCAAAGCTAAAGGGAGAGTGCCAGCCTAACAAGCATGAGGCCCTGAGTTCATATTCAGTACCACCAAAATAAAGTTGAAGAATACTGTGAAGATAATGTTATACTTGAGAACATAATATTTTTACACAAAAGTTTAGTTCTTTTGATTTTAATTAAGTTTGTTGCATAGATTATCTGGATATATTAGAAGAGGAAATGATTACTAACTTAAAGTAAAAGAAAATCTAATTTCCAATATTTATTAAAGTTAATAAAGTTACTTGTAGTTTATTTAAGATTGTTTCAGGGGCTGGGAAGGTGGCTCAGTGGTAGAGCGCTTGCCTTGCATGCATGAGGCCATGGGTTCGATTCCTCAGTACCACATAAGCAAAGAAAAAAGCCAGAAGTGGTGCTGTGGCTCAAGTGGTAGAGTGCTAGCCTTGAGCTGAAGAGCTGAGGGACAGCGCCCAGGCCCAGAGTTCAGGCCCCACGACTGGACCAAAAAAAAACAAAAAAAAAATTATTTCAGTACATACTGTGTCCTAGACTCTCTTCTAAATTCTCTAATACAACTAGATAGGCAGTATCAATGCTCCAATTCTCAGAACATATTATTTTCTAATAAGACAGATTGCAAATGAGTGAATATTAATAACAAGTAGGAAGAAGTCATATTAAGAAAAGTAAACTATAGTGAAAAAGAGACTTTTTTTTATGCCAGTGCTAAGGCTTGTTCTTGCTCACATTTTGTTCATGACTGATCCATGTTCATTTGATCGATGTGTTCAATTCCAGCTTTATGCTGGTTAAGTTTCATGAATTTAGCTGGCAGGCTTCAAACTGTGATCCTCAGATCTCAACCTCTTGTGTTTTAGGATTATGGGCTCCCAGCTTGTTTTTTAAAATACATTCAGGGAGCCGGGCGCTGGTGGCTCACGCCTGTAATCCTAGCTACTCAGGAGGCTGAGATCTAAGGATCGCGGTTCAAAGCCAGCCCGGGCAGGAGAGACCGTGAGACTCCTATCTCCAATAAACCACCAGAAAAAAGCCGGAAGTGGCGCTGTGGCTCAAGTGGTAGAGGGCTAGCCTTGAGCTGAAGAGCTGAGGGACAGAGCCCAGGCCCAGAGTTCAGGCCCCATGACCAGACACGCCCCCCCCAAAAAAAAAGAAAGAAATCAGGACCTGTCACCCTCCCAGTACTTTAGTAGGAGAGATTTAAAATGAACTTTTCCCTTCAGAATTTTGATGGAGTCTTGGTTATGTAGAGTCTTGGTTATGTAGACAGTGATTGATAGAATCCTTGGGCACCTTATTGAACTCAGTCACCAGCCAAGTATGTATTTCATGGAGGAAGTCAGGCAGATGTTACATTGTTTAAAGACCCAACTAAGCACTCTACCACTTGAGCCACTTCCAGTTTTCTGGTGGTTAATTGGAGATAAGAGTCTCACAGACATTCCTGCCAGGGCTGACTTTGAACTGTGATCCTCAGATCTCAGCCTCCTGAGTAGCTAGGATTACAGATGTGAGCCACCGGTACCGGCCACAATCTTTTATAAACTAGGAATTGAACACCAGGCTTCAACCCTCCTTTAGCTTCTCTCAAGGCTGGAGCTCTCCCAATTGAACCACATCTCTGATTTCCAGTTTTATAGTAGTTTATTAGGAATAAAGTCTTACAGACCTTGCTGGGCACTAGTAGCTCATGTCTGTACTTCTAGCTACTCAGCAGGCTGAGATCTGAGGATTGAGGTTTGAAACCAGCTCAGGCAGGAAATCTGTGAGAGATGCTTATCTCCAGTTAACCACCAAAGGAAAAAAAACTGGAAGTGGAGCTGTGACTTAAGTAGTAGAGCACTGGCCTTGAGTAGTAAAGCTCAAGGATAGTGTCCAAGCCACAGACCCAAGACCAACACAAAACAAACAAACAACAAAAAAAGAATCCCATGGATGTTTTTGCCCAGATATGCTTTGATGCTTAATCATAACCTCCTGAAAAACTAGGATTATAGGCATGAACCACTAGCTCCTGGGCTGCTTTCTTTTTTTTCTTTTTTCTTTTCTTCCTGGGCCTTGAACTCAGGTCCTGAGCCACAGCGCCACTTCCAGTTCTCTGGTAGATAATTCGAGATCAAAGTTTCATGGACTTTCCTGCCTGGGCTGGCTTTGAACCT